TTCCTGCTTTTCCCATGAGGGTTGTCCACTGTGGGGCTTTCACTGGTTGTGAATGGGAGGAAACTCTGAGGCGAGGTTTTGGGGTTTAGAAGAACAGATTGGTATTTCTTGGGTTGTTCTTTTTCTTCCATTTTTCTCTTCTCTGCATCCTAGAGTTGTGAAATAAATGCTATCAGGTCTGCAAAGAAGTAAACTTTCATGTTTGTTTGTTTTTTTTTAATGTTTGTTACTTCCATGAGAAATGAGCATATACTGTTGGGGGGAAAAGTTGTTGAGGATGCACGGTGCTTAAAAACACTTGAACAAATATTGAACACTACAGTTTTAATGCTAGTAAAATAACAACTTTGCTAAACATTGATGACTCACTACCTAATTTTATATCAACCAAAGTTCTGAAGAGTCTGGTCCACAAACAGATAATTCAGATACTGAATTATTGAAGAGAAGAACTTAGATTGGATGCTAAGATAGCTTTTATTTCAAGAAATTGCTTAATTTGATACTGTTACACTTTTAAATAAAGCTTTCCGTTCTTGATACAGTTCCTAAGTAATCCATGTCTTGAGGCTAAGGATGAATGGTACTGTAGAGTACCAAAATTTTTTCTTGCTGTCCAGATTAACAAACAAAAGTTTCCAGTCCTCAGATATAATTTAATGTATTTTCTTTCCATTCTTTCTTGATGATGGATTCGCTGTGTTCTTTTTAGTTAGCTTTATCAGCTTCCTAACTGGAGCTTATGAAATGTTACTTCAATATAATGAGCTGTATTTATTTCACAGGATGTTTGTGTTGGCAGCTGTCTGCATACATTCAATTCAATGCTCTTGTGAGCATTCCATAAAAGCTCGTGGTATTTGCACACAGGAAAAGGGATACCTCAAATAAAACTTGATTTGATCAATCTGTGAGCTATGAAGGACCACACATGACGGTGTGGTTATATTTGCTGGGTTTGGCTGGGGTAGAATTAATTTCCTTCACAGTACCTGGTGTGGGGCTGTGTTTTGGGTCGGTGCTGGAAGCAGTGTCGATAACAGAGGGATGTTTTGGTCACTGCTGAGCAGGGCTTGCACACAGCCAAGGCCTTTTCTGCCTCTCACCCCACCCCACCAGCGAGGGGGCTGGGGGGGCACAAGGAGTTGGGAGGGGACACGGCCGGGACAGCTGACCCCGATGACCCAAGGGCTATCCCATACCGTATGACGTCATGCTCACCGTATAGAGCTGGGGAAGGAGGAGGAAGGTGGGGACGTTGGGAGTGATGGCGTTTGTCTTCCCAAGTCACCGTCAGGCGTGATGGAGCCCTGCTGTCCTGGAGATGGCTGAACACGGCCTGCCCATGGGAAGGGGGGAATGGATTCCTTGGTTTGCTTTGCTTGTGGGCATGGCTTTTGCTTTACCTATTAAACTGTCTTTAACTCAACCCACGAGTTTTCTCACTTTTACTCTTCTGATTCTCTCCGTTATCCTGCCATGGGGGGAGTGAGCGAGCGGCTGCGTGGGACTGAGTTGCCGGCTGAGGTTAAACCATGGCATTGTGCTTCTGATGCTACCATTCCCTTAATTACAGGGCACTCATTCTTTTTTCATGAAAATGCCAAAGGCTTGCTTACCCCATTTTTTTCCACTTGGCTGCCCTGTGTGTAGTCTTTGCAACACTAAACCCATATTTATGTGCAAACGAGCGCGTTTAAGAGAATGTGGACACACTTACAGCCATGTGAAGAGACTCACACGAAGCTTTTAAAATATTTATGGATGTAATTTCTATTTCTTGCTCAGACTAGCCTTTTTTTTTTTATAAGCACCAAATGGCAGTGTGCCTCAGTTCTGCAATGCAAGTTTGTGATTTGGCCTTATATTTCTGGGTTTCTGTATTCTTACCCAAGTAACTTGGTTTGATTTTAAGGTGTATTTATTGGTTTGGTCAGTTCTCCCTGTCCACATAGAAATAATATTCTCTCTGTCCCCTGTAACTGTTCCTTCTCTCTTCTGGGTGTTGTAAAGCATACTAAATCATTACAGCATTTCCAGATTTTGCTTTTCCTGTCTGGGCGGGACAGCCTACAGGAAGAATATTTCCGAGTTTTCAGAGTTTTTAAAAAAGTGCTACACTGAACATATGAGATGAGCTGAATCTGTAAAGACTGGAGCTGTTACTGTTTCTTTGAATTTATATAAACATTCACAGAAAGTTTGTTAAGATCCACGTGCGTTCCCAGCAGCAGAGGTATTCTTACCTGCCTTATTTCCCTGAAAAGTGAATGCTTGAACGGTGTTGCGACTTGACTTTTGTTTGGAGAAAGGGAGGTAATGTTTGTTTTGTTTCATATCACACATACCAAAGTGCATTTGCTGTTGACAGTCAAAACAGGCCTTCCTACCCACTAGCTCTGCAAAGTAAATTTGGAATCTTCATTTTATGCATTATTAACAGCAATATTCATATAATTGAGGATGAGGAAATGCTACAGTAATTGCAAACTGAAACCTTTTCTTACAACAGTAGTAGTTCTACAGTAGAAGTAGTAAAATAAATGTATGTAATAAGTCATTTTGACTACAATAGTTTATTGTGCTCAATAGTGAGCTTATTATGAAAAATGGCATTCTTTGTTTCTAGAGTGGATTTTTTTTTATATTTTATATTGAAAGCAAGAGATGTAACGTTATCACATCAGAGCAATGTATGACCTCATTTGCAGCTCTGTTCTAACATACTACTTTTACATCTTTTTGTTTACAACATTTTACTTCATTTTCTTTTGCAGTATAAAGAAATGCAAAAATTATTACGAAATCCTCGGGGTGTCAAAGGATGCAGGTGAAGAAGACCTAAAGAAGGCTTACAGAAAACTTGCTTTGAAATTCCACCCAGACAAAAACCACGCACCTGGAGCAACAGAAGCTTTTAAAAGTAAAATACCATTTTTACTTGCAATTTCTTTTATGATTAAACATTGTCAGATTAAAAGAAATTCATCTGCATTGGTCACTTGTCTTTTTACAAAATTGTCAATGTGGTGTTTTCTGGCTAATATGAAACTGACATTTTTATCCAAGAAAATATTTGACCTGTATTATCTTAACATATACCTAGCAGTATAGATAAATTATGTAGACTTTTGCAGTAAGGTTTGGTTCCAGAGGATTGACTGTAATTTTCAGGTACATGGAGCGAATACTTGATCTGTGAAACCCAATTGCACTTTTTTACGTTGTTGACTTAATGTAGTCAATTGAATCTTACTATCTTGAATCTTTACTGTACTTGAGCTTGAAAAAACCAACATAATACTTGATAGCAAAATGCAGTTTTTACTGAGTCATGTGCCATGCGAAGTTAACTTTTCCTTAGAATCCCTTGTATGTGTGTAGTTTTACTACTTTTTCCACACAAAAATACTTGGGTTCAAACACGGCCTTATTAATAATTGCTTTTGACCATTTCTTAAGTAAAATTTACAGTCTGACTTGACCTGATCTCAGGCTGCCAAGCTTAGCCCTGCACAAGGGAAATTCTTGAGCAAAACTTTTTAAGGAAAACTACACCTTCATCTCAGACACAGATGAAGAAAAAGATGAATCTGTAAGAAATGATCATGCATAAATAAACAATCTGATTGTGGTACATCTTTTTTTATTTTTTTCCTGTGTGAGGTTTACATGCAGACATTTGAAAAAATCAATAGGATAAAACTCTTAAATTGAGGGAAAAAAAGAAAAAAAAAAAAAAAAGTCCTGAGCAAGACTTCTGATACAAACTTTAAGGGGTAATTATAATAATGCATTAACAATTCCAGATGAAAAATAGATAGAACATAGCAGGAAAGTTCATTGCTAACGATTATTTTAATACCTAAATGCAATGGCTCTATCTAAAAAAGATATTATTCTTATAAAATTGTCTCCAGCCCTATGAATAAAACAATTCTTCCTTGTTAATAGCATTTTAAATAATTTTTAAAATGTTAGAAATCAGTTTCTCATTATTTGATCTTTTATTTAACGTTAGCACTTTGTACAAGTTTGATTTCTTCAGCTTAATTTCACTTTCTAGTTCTTAACTAGATGAGTAAATGAACAGAAAATTTTGTAGAGGAATCTTGTTGACTAAAAATTATTTAATGAAATGTACCATTTTTGTTGCATTATATTTGAATCAAATCTGTTGTGAATGAGCATAAAATACTCGCAAGCAAATAACAGATAGTCAAAAAAGATTGCTGACCATACCATAACAGTACGGTGTCTTCACTTTATGTGCAGTCACCTGATTTATGTCTCCCTAAATTCTTAATTGTTGGGAAAATGTAAATTTTTACTACCAGTTTTATCCTCGTGCTGAGTAACAGAGGAACCTTCTACCAATATTTGGCGTCAGTAGCGTCTATCATGCTCTCGGTGTAAATTATGAGGCTTCGTTTCTTTGGGTTTTCTCCTCTGCTTAAAGGAATTTCTAATAATTATTTCTAAGGGCACCTTAAAAGGCACATAGCTAAGACTCATTAATTTTTTTTTAGATTAGATAATGTTGAAAACATTAATTATGCAAAGCCATAGTCTTATTTGCCCGTGTTGAGGTTATAGTGTTGCACCTTTCACGACCTTTTGGTGACGGATGGCTTTTTGACACTGAAAAACATAATCCCTGTGCCTTGTGTTGGTTGGCTGCAAAAGAAGCCTTTTGTTGGAGAGGCCTGGAGGAGAGAGAAGAAAGGAAAGAAGAAAAGGTTTAATGAAGATATGACTGAGTGAAGATTGTTCATCGAGTGCCAACAGAAATTTTCCTTCAGTCTGCAAGAGCTGTATGTCAGTGCACAGCAACTAGGGTTAAAGCCTGTAAAGTCAGCAGAGCTTGTGGTTTTTCGCACTCATTCTTTCCATGCTCACCTAACTCAGTTTTTCCCTTTCTACTGTCAAAATTGAAGTTGTTCGTTTGTGATAATGTAGTATGAACAGGGAAGAGCATCCAGGCCAGGCATTTCAGAATACATGTGTTCCTGTCATGCACGCATGTTGTACTCTTCATGTTATGTCATGCAAAACTTTGTCTTATTAATGTAATCCATAAAATATCTTCAAAAGCATATACAAAAATACATTCAGAGTCTTGTGGACAATAAAGTTGATGCATTCAAAGAACTCACCACTTGTCAAATGAAACCAAAGAAAACCTACTGAGTCTATGATGTTTTTAAGCTAGGCTGCTAGAGCAAACTGAGCTTTGCAATTATCCAGCTTCAAAGCTCTCATTGTAATGCTTGATGCTTTTTTTGTAACTGCAGCGAGAGAGAATATTTCCACAGGTGTAGGTGTTCCCCTAGAAAAAGAAACAAAGCTCTCCTGCCTTCTGCCTAGTTCAACAGGATAAAAGCATTGGTGGGAAACTTTGTGGAAGCTACACTAAGAAAAGTAGAGATGTTTCTGGACCTTGTTCCGTTATAGTTGATTTGTAACATACAGTAAAGGACATAATTCGCTGTGTATTCTTGACTTTGAAATTGCAGTTTTCATGCTGGAATAGCTCTTAGCTTTCATTTATGGGAGTTGTCTTTTATTCCTTGCTTCAGAAATCGGAAACGCTTATGCTGTGCTGAGTAATCCAGAAAAACGAAAGCAGTATGACCTTACAGGCAGTGAAGAGCAAACGTGCAATCACCCTAGCAACAGTAGATTCAACTTCCACAGAGGCTGTGAGGCAGATATTACTCCAGAGGATCTATTCAACATGTTTTTCGGAGGGGCATTTCCAACAGGTATTTGTATACATCAGTATAATCACCAGGATATGGTGGTACTGCCCAGAGTGGCATTAGAGTTTGTGACATTGTAAAACAGTAGAATTACTCCAGTCTGCCGCTGACCCCAACTCTTTAATCTGCATCGCAGTTAATTTTTCTTCTAATGTTGTTAAATCCCCAAAATGTGAATTCAGCTCTTTGGGGTTGCTGTGGTGATTCTGCAGTACATGAAATAACAAATCAGTTGTCTTAAAGCTTAGAATGTTTATTTTAAGCAACTTTGAAATTGTAAGATGTCTTAAAGTTGAGTTATTTTATGTGTCATTGTGCGGTAATGTTTAATGCTTTATGTTGTTGCTTCTGTATTGACCTCTAAATAGGTTGGGTTTTTTTTTTTACATGATTTAAATGTGGATATTTCTTTCCTTAGGTAGTGTACATTCATTTTCTAATGGTCGTGCTGGCTACAGTCATCCTAATCAGCACCGTCAGAGTGGACATGAGAGGGAGGAAGAGAGGGGTGATGTATGTTTAAGCACCATTGACTTTAAACTATGGATTGTGAAATTTGCTGGTAGTCGCTTTCAGTGATGTGATTGTACAGGAGTTCTGTACTGTAGAGGAGGATTTGTGCTTGCCAGTTACGTATTTTAAAACTTTGGCAGGTCATAGTCTTACTGATTGGTAAACAAACATGCAAATTTGAGAAGATAGTAGCCTGTTTTTGTAAATCTATTGTTGTATGTCATTATCTTACTAGGGAGTGGTAGTATTAGCCTAAATATGCCTCTAATTCTGGTCACTAATCCTTGTCTACATTTAAAAATTTATTTGGGCTGAGGTAAGAATTGAACTTAAGGCTCAATATTCATCTACATGAATTATATGTAGTCCTGTATAATTACATGTCATGGTATAGATGAGACCAAATCATGGCATACAATGTAACCGCATCCAGCAATTCATTTGGTAACTGCTTGTGGCTACATGCTAACCCATGGACTCTTGCAGCTTGAGCACTCTGTGAATATCGTGTATGCATTTGGAAAGTTAAGATAACACCACAGTGTCTGCGGGTTTGCAGTTACAGTTTTCCTAGCGGCTTTTGATGCTTAAAGCAGAAGGTCACACTTAGCATTAAGTCTTGTCAAATTTACCTGTTTACTTGATGCTGTTTTATGAAATATCTGGATCTGTTTTGTTCCTTAGGGAGGTTTCTCTATGTTCATTCAGCTGATGCCTATTATTGTGTTGATCCTTGTTTCCTTGTTGAGCCAGTTGATGGTATCTAACCCTCCTTACGCCTTATACCCAAGATCGTAAGTAATGCTCAATTACATTAGCTTAAAACATAGGGGAGGATATTGTAATCACCCTCTCCCACTTAAAAGTATTTTAGGGAGCCTGCCCTTAGTTGGTCCTTGATTTCCCACAGTGAGGGAAGGCATAGACGAAGCAGAACAAAACTTGAAAGTTAGGTACTAAGAACATGCTCTGAGAATGTAATGGAGAAGAGAGGTCAGCAACACCTGGAGTTTAGAAGGTCTTCTAATACAAGGCAGTGGGTCCATGCAACGTAGCATGTTGCAAAGGTGTTTGCATCTCCAACATATTTAATCGAATCCTGAAACCTTCTAGGGCTCATTATTCTTTGAGGGGTCATCTGTGCTTGCAGCAAGTGAAGTACTTGAAAGCAACTTTCATCCGTAGTTAAGTTTTGAACTAGATGAGGGCTGGGGAAATTGTCTATTCTTTGCTTCATTCTAGGTGATGGTATAATAGTTTATCTTCATTTCCTCGCAAAGAATTCTACTAGTGAAACTTACTTGTTTTGTACAGTAGGTTATATAAACCTTTTTTCCCTGAGAAAAATAACTAACTTCAGTCAAGCGTCCAACTAGCTAGTAGACTTAGCCCACTCACTACAGCTGTTTTAAAGGTCCTTAGTTCCTTGCAGAGCTCTCAGCCCCACAACAGAAAGGTTTCTTTTCTCCTCTCTTATTTTTCAGAGTTCTTTATTTCCGGATGTTTTTCCCTTCTGCAACTAAACTATTGTGATGCTTATAAACACTTCTCTTCCAAAATGTTTGCGCACAATGTTTGGTTTTTAATCTGCAGAATGCCAGCAGGAAAATGGATTTGTCAGGGCTTGCAGAAAACACTATAGAATGGAGATGCCTGTACTGGGTTGCTACAGAATAGTGACCTGTTTTTCTTTCTGTTGAGTTTGAATGTAATTTTCTATTACCAAAGCTTATATTTGTCTAAAAAGGTATGAAACAAGTGTCTTACTGAAGTGGGGTTTTTTTTGAGATCAAGGGTTTAAGCAGCAGAAGTTTAATGTTCAGGTAAATGTAGTAATTCTACTCTCTGGCAGATTATACAGCCATTCATTTCATTACTTGTCTTGAGATGGCAAATTCAGTAACGTGCTGTTCTTCTGTAATAGCAATATTTTTTAAAAGTGTATTTGTGGTGCAAAAAAAAAAAAATCATCAAATAAATACCTAGTCTTTCTCTCCCCCCTCCCTCCTTTTTTGCAGAAGTACAGGGCAGACCATAAAAATGCAGACAGAAAACTTGGGTGTCGTTTATTATGTCAACAAGGACTTTAGAAATGAATACAAAGGAGTGTCATTGCAGAAAGTGGAAAAGAGCGTGGAAGAGGATTACGTGTCCAACATTCGTAATAACTGTTGGAAGGAGAGGCAACAAAGTAAGTTTGGTAACATGTATAATTTCATGAAAGCATGCATTACTACGAAAAAAGATTGCCTCAGGCAAGAATGAAGTGCTTCTGTTATTAAAAATATCTGAATGAGAGAGCAAATGTAAGGTTCTGTACTGTTTCTCACTTCTGAAAGTGTCCCCCGTGTCACTTAATTTCTGTGTTTTACTCAGTGACCTAACAACCGTCTCCAAATCATCATCAGTTTTAACTTGTTACTCTATTATCTGTGACCATTTTGTGAGCCTTTCATGTTCTGCAAGAACAGCGCTGCTAAAATGACATCAGTGTTGAAACCAGATAATTTCAGCTTTTCAGCTGGTAATAGCTCACCAGATAAACAATGCACTCATGAACTGTCAGTAAACTGACCAGAAGCAA